ACCAGATATAGCCCCCAAGGTCATACCTCCTTGACTTAATCAACACACCCACAAGTGTGTTCCACCAATTCTCTGGGCAGATCCCAATTCTGCCCTAACCACCACACCCTACTAGCTAGAAAACAAAAAGATCAAATATGAGTGGCAACCAAAATATATGGTAAATGTTTAAATTTTTAAAAATATATTATAGGCTGGGCATGGTGGCATACACCTGTAATCCCAGCACTCTTGCTGAGGCAGGAGGATTGCCGTGAATTAGAGGCCAGCTTGAGTTATATAATGAGTTCAAGGCCAACCTGAACTACATAGCAAGACTCTTATGTGTATGTATGTATGTGTGTATATAAAATGTATATACCATATATATACACTAATATATATAACAAAAGATACATTACCATTAATCCCTCTCAAAATACTCCTCCACACTTTGAACACACTTATTTCATTGTTCTTGCCACTTTCTGAAGCACTTCTGGAAGTTCTTTTTAGTATCTTTGTGAGGTATGATCAGAACCGTGAATGATGCTGCTGAGTGCCATCCAACAGAAAGGCAGGCTCATAAAAAAAATTATAGTGTGTCCTCATCCACCTTATTCACTGGATCTGGCACCATGAGACTTTTGGCTCTTTCCTGAAGTCAAAATGACCATAAAATGTAAAATAAATGTTTTGAATCAATTTAGGACATCAAGGTAACCACAACAGCACAACTAAAGACATTCATGAAAAAAAGACTTCCAGAACTGCTTCAGAAAGTGGTAAGAATAATAGGATAAGCGTGTTCAAATTGAAGGGAGGTATTTTGAGGGGGGATCAATGGCAATGTCTCTTTTACTGTAATATCTTTAAAATTAAAATATTCACATTTTGGATCACCCTTCAGAAACATGTTTTGAGCTGAGTTAAGGAAAGCATCAATCTCTGTAAGCTAGGATCTATGTAAGTCAAGAGGTCTTACATGTCTCTCTGAACTGGATAAATTTTAAAAACTCATTTCATTTAGAGCCATAAGGACTTGAAGGAGCAAACATTGGTACTATTTGGGTCCTAACCTTCTTGAATACAGTTATGCATTGGACTGTTCATGGACCAAAGGTAGCCAAATTAAGCTGGCATGGTTTGAGACTCACAAGAAATAAGTTTAACTGCTTAATAACTATTTTGAATAAGAAAGTCAATGCTTTTACTGTGAATATGAAAACAGTGAGTTCACTTGCTACTCTGAATGCATCTGTGATAAAATGTAGTAACACTCTAACAGTTTATGCTGGTCCCACTAAAGGTTAGTATGCCCTCCTCTCATTGCACTATTTGACAGAAAAGCTCCTCATAATTTTCCTAAGTCAAGTGTACCATGTCACGTGGTGCTAGAAATTTTAAATATCTAGAACTTTGCTCCATCTCTGTTCATGTGTACCACCAATCCAATTTATAAGACAAATATTTTAGTAAAACTACAACCATGTGCTGCTAAATGATGAACACATTCTAAGAAATGCATTGTTAGGTGGATTCATCACTGTGCAAACATCACAGTGCATACTTTTACAAACCTAGATGGAATAGGTGAATCACTTGATGTAACCTCTTGGTAAAATCAAGACACAATAAACATGAGATGTGAGGTTGTTGCCAGCTAACACAGCATACAATTTTACAGTAAAATTTTTTATAAGTGGAAGGAATACCCTCTAAGTATAAAATGTAAACATATAAACCAGTAACATAGTCATTTATTATCAAGTATTATGCACTGTATATGCTACTGACTTAAACATTATGCACCACATTACGCAGCACAGCTATACTTAGATATTTTGTTGTTACTGTGTTTACTGCCAAGTATGATGGGACTAGGTCATGCAAACTCACAAAGATTTACTCAGTTGTACTCTTAACATACTGAGTTGCACTGTTAGTCCAAGGATGTTCTGGAATTGGGGTCATAAAAGGCAAAGTTGTTAGATTCTTACGGCTCATAAGAATGTTCTTTCTAATGAATTGATCAGACAAGTGAAAGTACATGTGGAAAAATGAAATCAGATCCAAATTGGATTTGTAAACAGAGCAACTGGAACTACAATCTGCATTCCTTTCTTTTTACTTAAAAGCTTTGAGTTCATGAGAATTATGGAATGTTCAGAACTATAGAGCCATTTTATGGAAAGGAAAACCACAACTCCAGTGAGGATCCATATTTGGCTGATGAATTTTAATTTCTGTACCTGCATTTAGAAGCTATAAGTTTAGGATATATCTGAATTATTAAACATCTGCCCTTTGAGTTGACTTAATTTTGATAAGTGACTTAAACAAGAGTGAAATATCCTGGAATTCTGGAGTGGACCCTAGGAATCCTAAGATTATCCTAAACTACATTACCCTGGGTAGTGTGTGAGTTCATCAGGCTCAGTAAAAATTCATCCTTTCAATATATTCATAAAATGAAAAACAAATTAGGGAGTACTATCAGGAATGCTAACCTATATTTGAGATATGCCATAATTCTTAAGAATGTGTCTGGAAATTGCCAATATTTTTATGAACAATTAAAGTAGATCAACGATTACCACTGAACTTAAAATATAGCTCTTAAAAAAATCTTTTATGTAGGCTGCTTTCATTTTATTCTGTTATAGGTAACAGACTAAACTCTATTCTTATTTTCAATAAAAATCCATACTCTTTGCAGATAAATAGATTTGTGATCATGTGTTCTGCAGGTGTAAATAAATGTGGAAACTTCTACTCTATAACAAATTCCTCATTTCCTGGAAGGGAACATAATGTGTCCAGAGAAAGAAGAGTAAGAAAAATACTGTAGTTGTACATTTTGCTGGACCAATCCACAGTTCGAGGTACTATAAAGCAAAAACAAATACTAATGGGAAAAATTTATAAAACAGAAGAAGCAAAGCTAAATCAGTCAATTCATTTGGGGTTAATAATTAAATGTTAGCCAAGGGCCAGGGATTTAGCTCAGTGGTTCCACCGCCTGCCTCGAAAGCACAAGGTCCTGAGTTTGATCCCCGGTACCAAAAAAAAAAAAAAAAGTTAGTCAAAAGTCAAAAGATACTATGCCTTAGGAAACATGAAGTTTTAAACACTGTACAATGAGGCATTATGTATATAGGACTCATTACTCCAAGGAAAACAGTGTGTTGAGAACCCTCCACAAGGGTTTAATAATTCATAAACTCCTAACAGTTTTGAGGGCAGGAGAGGGAATCTCTAGACATTCCTCTGAGGCCAGAAACACAAAAATAAAGCTTCCAAAAAGAAAACTTCCCCATTTCAAAGAGGAATACAAAAGCTAATCTCATTGTCCACCCCCAGTGGAATTTCCCCTACTCATCTATACACTCATTCACTTATACTTTTATAAAGGTAGATAATACTGGCTCTTAGTCAAGGCCTATATTATGAATTGGGAATAGACCAACAAGAGACAAGAAAAACATATCCAAGTATTTCCACAAATTTACCTTTTTTCATTTCAAATACTTTTACAGAAAAATATTAGAACTACTGTATTCATATCCGTACATTTAGTACTTTCATCTACCTTCTTTTGTCTGCTAAGAAATATTACACTGTGGATTTGGAGTGTAGTTAAGTGGTAGAGTGCTTGCCTGGGACATACCAGGCCCTGGGTTCTAGCCACAACACTGGAAGAGAGGAGGGGAGAAGAAAAGAAGATGAATCTCAAAGGTGTCAAATAAATGGCTTTAATACAAAAGTCAAATATGTACATACTTTTAGAAAAAAACCTGAGGGGAGAGTAAGGAGTTTTAGCTGAGTTTTGTGGAAATAAGCCATACAGTTTTAGGCAAAATCACTTTGGCCTTAGTTTTCTCATCTGTGAAAAATAGGGGCAATGAAACCTCACTTTACAAATCTCACAGATCTGTGGAAAAATCAAAAATACTAGGTGAATGTAATATTGTGACAAGTCCTCAACCAGGTAACTCTATCTACAGATCTTTTAATAATACAGGCATATACTCAGAAGGACAGTTCATAAAATGTTTGGTGTGAAATCCACTACTGAGGCAGATGGTTTGCTTGGTTTGCCTAGAAATCATATTCCCAATAGAATGCCAAAAGAAATGCAGAAGCCCAGCTGTTCTAAGAAACCTCAGGAGTACTATCTGTCTTTTCTTAAGTTATTCAATGGGCTTGTTCCCACTCCAACAGTTTTCTTCCCCTAATACGTATAAGTTGCTCATTCTGATCTCTTCAAGGATCACAATATTATCTCTAAACTTTCTGCTTGAGCCTAAAAAGGCCTGTCCTATAATTTTGACAAGTTTGTATGCATTCCAATATTACCTATAATTCCATTTTCTCTATGCCATCTTTTTGTAGAAAGAGTACAAGTTTGTTCCCACCTAATTCTATTTAAAGACATTTTAAGTGGTTCAAAATCCTACACAGGCAGGAAAGAACCTAACTCTTCCAACACCAGACTCCAAATTTTGAGAGGTGGAGTAAACTAGAAAGAAGTAGAACTTCTATGGAGCTACAAGATGAAAGAGAAATGTTGGAGGTAATAATGTCTCATCTCAATGGATCCAGAGTGAGCCTCAAGGCTCCAAGAGACTGCTTCAGTCCAGAGCCAGCACAGCCTAAAGCTGAGAAGCTTGCTTGTTTCAATATTTGCCATAACAATTAATGAACTCTGAAAAGATGCATCATTTTAATTCTAGTTATTTAAAAAGCATACCTACAGGAGTAATGTAAGCACTTTATACCAAATAAATTTCTATAACGAATTCTTGCATTCTCACCCATATATATGATTTCACAAGTTAAAATAATTCTTATAACAGTGTGTCAAACTGGCAATAAAAACATGAATCTAAATTCTCCTGGTGAAGATATGCTTCCTTTTAAAATGTAAAGTAGAAATATATCAGCTTTCAGGATTTTTATAGAGATACATTTTAAAAAGAACTATGCTAAAGATACAGAGTTAGGAGTTTAAAGTTTACCTAATTGACTTGATAGCTTCTAGCTCCTCAGCAGTTAGGAATGAAGTTATCTTCAAGAAAACTATGTCAAATGTGCAGTCATCCAAAAGTGTAGCTGCCTTCTTCACATCACTAATGGTGATGGTAACTTCTGCTGAACTTGGAAAGAATTTCTGTATATCATCAGCCAGGTAGCAAACAGTGACATCTCCAACTAATAAAAGATCTATTTTTTCCTGTAAGAGGAGGAAGAAAATAGCAGCAGTGCATAATTACTATCCGGGCATAGAGAAAATATTGTGAGTGAGAGGATAAAACAAAGGTGACAACACAATGATGACTTCTATTACTGTACTGGCCAGTCAACTATAAGCACCTCAAGAGGAGGGATCATTAGTTTCATGTCTTCAGTACCTAAGGCAGTGAATGTATCTAATGCTCATCCCATGTTTTAATTTTGCCTACTGTTATTCTACTGTGGTTTTCCCATAAATCTCACTCTTGTGCTAGTAACAACAGACAGGATTCTAATAATTCCAATTCCCAATCCTCTGTCCTCCTGAGAAAACCAAACTGGTGACTCATACAACTTACTTTGGTAAAAACAGACATTCAAGAGAACAGAGAAAGCATTAAGTTCCTTAGGCCTAAGAAATGCTCAAATAAAGTCCTTTGAATGGAATATACAGGACATGCAAATACCAATATTTGAAACCTAAAAAGATCTTTATTTCCACTTGAGGGTATTTTGAAGTACAATTAGGAAAAATAGAATTTCCACCTTCACCTTTATTTCTGTTTTATTTCTATAACTAACAAACACAACCCACTGAAAATGTACAAGGATGAAGATGCTTGAATTAATGGAACTAGTAGGAAACAATTGGAAATACCAGGCATAGATAGATCCACACAAAAAAACAGAAAACACATTGGGAGCTGGTGATGGTCAATGAAGCCAAAAGAAGTGGAGAGGTTGGAAATACTTGTACGTACAAAGAGAAGGTCTACCAAAAATGCAACTCTCCCTGTCTTATGTTAAAACATGCTTTTACTGTATATTCTAATGCTTTTATGGTTTTATTTTTGCATTTAGCTTTTTATTCCATCTGGAATTTAGTTATTAACATAAGCTAGGTATCTGACTTTATCTTTTCCAAGTATAGAGCTAATTGGCTCAACAGCATTCTTGAACAAGCTAAACTCTCAGTGTTTTCAAAAGCCACCTTTATATATGATTTTATACATTTTTAAAAAATCATTCTGACTTATTGATCTATTTGTCAATCCCTGGTTAATAACATAGTTTAATTACTAGTTATAGTATGTTTTGCTATTTGATAAAGTACAAAGTTTCTTTGTTATTTTTCAGTTTGGCTCTTCCATATTTTCTAATTTCTCTTCTAACAGAATTTTATTAAGAAACCCTGCTGAAGCTTTGGTCATGCTTATTTTAAAGATTAGGGAATATCATTGCTGTATTAAATTTCCCTGATCAGAAAGCATGACCTTCAGAGAACTCAGGTTCTTTATGTTCTTGATTTTTAGTTATTTTCATATAGATTTTTTTCATGTGTTCTTGTGTATTTATTCTCAGACATTTTAACATTCAGAAGTCATTATGAAGGGGATATCTTTTCTCACTCATTGCATCTTCTTTTATTATAGTTACCATACAGAAGAGAGACTGATCTCTGCACAGAGAATTTGCTTCAAGTACTTCATGGCTCTATCTAGTTCCAATATATTTTAGTTGACTCTTCTCAGTTTCCTAGGGAGATAATTAAAATCTTCAAAACGTGACATTTTGTCTCAGTTTTCAGAATGTGAGCCATTTATCTATTTAAAGCATTGGCTAGAGCATCTAAAACAATGGTGAATAGCAGAAGTGACAATGAACATTTTTGCTTTGTTCCTGGGTTTACAGAGAATATTTTGAAAAATTTTACCACTAAATATGAAACTTACTAAAGGTTCCTTCTGATCAGTATCTTTTATCAAATTTAAAAGTTTCTTTTTACTTGAAAGGTTTGAACGTTATACCAGAAATGGGTGCTGAAATCTATCAAATGCTTTTTCAGTATATGATCTTGCTATTATTTTTTAATGTTAGGTAGTAAATTACATTACTAGATTTCCTAATGACAAGCCATCACTAGTATGCTAGGATAAACCAATTTATGTGTACTGGGTTCAATTAATTTATTGTTAAATTTTTGTATCTACGATTACAAGTGAAAATGGATACAATTTTTTTAATGTACAGTCATATTAGAATTATATGCTAGCCTTGAGTATCAGAGTTGGGTATCAGAATTATATGCTAGCCTTGAAGAATAAAATAGCTTCGATATTTTCTGTATTGTCAAATATTTTATTAGACATAGAAATTATCCACTTCTTCATGGTTATTTAAAACATGTTTATAAAACCTGGTCCTAAGGACATTTATATAGGTGGATCTTGGACTACCTTTTGCAGTTCCTTAGTGTTTGCCTTACTGGCAAATTTAAGTGCTCCACTTTTCTTAAATTTTGTTGTATATTTTTAAAAATCCAATTCATCTATACATATTTTCAAATGTATTAATTTTTTAAAAATACATAATATTTATTACTAGATTTATCTTGCTTTCTAACTACAGATTAATACTTTTTTTCTATTTTTTCTTCTGGAATGCTTTACTAGAGATTATAGAATTGTATGGTCCAACATGGTAGTCATATGTAGCCATTTAAATTTAAACTCATGTTAATTAAATCTTGAACTGCAGTTCAATGGCACTAGCCTGTTTCAAGTCCTCAATATCAACATGTAAGTGGCTACCATATCACCTGGCACAATTACAGAACATTTTCATCATTGTAGAAAGTTCTGGAAAGCACAGTAGAGGACCTAAATCTTCTAAATGTTATACTCTACAGGTTGTAGTATATAGTGTATTCATACTTATTCAGTGCTAAATATACTTTCAGTTTATATTTCCATTTTCTAATAAGAGTTACATTAAACTTCTAAATAAAGGTGCATTTAATTTTCAAGGGGATAATGTATTTTGGCATTTAATTTTGTGAGCTATTTACTGCCAATTTCTTATTTCAATATACTGTCAACAGTGAACTGCCCTGAATGATGTCTATTTTTTAGAATTTGTTGACATTTTATTCACAGATTAACAGTAAATTTGTATTAATGTACTTGAAAATAATACCTATTTTCTGTTGGGCATAAAGTTCTATATATCTTTTAAAGCAAGCCTATTATTTGTTTTCTTATGCCAGGTCTACTTGATCTTTCTGTTTATGAGATAAGTATGTCAAAATTTCCCTAAACAAGGTTTTGTCCATTTATCAATTTTGTAACTATAGACTCTATTTCTAATTATGGGAAAGGTATATAAGGTTTCATGATAATAGTAAATATTTGTATAAATATATAGTTTATATATTATGTATGATGATCTATGTTTACATAGTATCTAAGTAAAATATAATTATATACTGATAATTATACATAGAAAACTATACATGAAATCTGTCATTTTTAATGCTCTTCACATGAAATTTTACTTTTTCTGATATACAGCTCTCCATTTTTCATGTAACTTTATTTTAAACCATTTTATATAATTTTAATTTTGTGTAGATTTTACAAATAGCATATAAATTGAGTTTGCAAGGTTTTTTTCAGTTTTCCATTTTTGATGTAGAAACATATAACTGATCAGTTAATACCGAATACAACTAATTAGCTAATATTGATTGTGAAACACTGGCAACCCAATGTGAAATAATCTAATTCCTTTCATTTGTTATTCATGTTTCCCATTTACAGTTTTTCTTTATTCCCTCCTATTGTACCTACAATGGTTTGAGAGCAACAGCCCTTATTTCTATTCTTTAAGTGGTTAGTTGCCTTAGCTTTTTATTTTGAATTAATTTTAGATTTACAGAAGAGCTGCACAGAAAGTACAATGAGTTCTCATGAATTCTCTACTAACATCTTCCACAACTATGGTACTATTATCAAAACTAAAAAAAAAAAAGTGGGTTTTTACAATTAAAAGAAAAAAAACCCTAAGAAAGTAACTTAGGACAGTACTAGTAGATAAACTACAGACTTCGATTTCCCCACTATTGTCCTTCTTCCGTCTCAGGATCCCACCTGGGATAACACATTATTATATTAGTCCTCATTGTCTCCTAGTCTCCTCCAATCTGTAAAGCTCCTTGGTTTTCCCTTGTTTTTTCTGACCTTCGAATAGTGTCAGGTATTATGTAAACATTCTACAACTTGGATATGTCTGATGGTTTCTAGTTATTACACTGGAACTACAGATTTAGAAAAATACTTAACCATGAAGTGCCCTTGTCAGGGTATTATGTATTGAAACATCACCAGAGAAGCTCACCTGGGTTCCTTGGCTAAGGCACAGGAGGGTTGTCCACTGTAAAGTCATTATTTTTCCCTTTCTACACTGTTTTCAGAAAGGAGTCGCTAAATCCAGACACACTCAAAGGAAGGGGTCTCAAGCACCTACAACCTCTTGGAGGAAGGACTAGCAAACAGTGGATATATGGTAAAAACATCATAGCAATAAATGAATATGGAAGGATGTTGAGGCTATGAAAATAACCCATTTCTCCTAAAAGTTGAGCGTTCTACTTTAACATTCTTAGGTGGATCCTCAAGATCCACAGGCAAGAACGTCACAGTTGTTCAAGTGCAACATTCCAATGATGATTTTCTATTTCCTTCCCTTCTGTTTAACACTTGGAATTCTTATGTAAGAAAGATTTGTCTCCCTCATTCATTTATTTAGCCAATCATTTATATCGGTATGGGTTTATGGATATTTATTTTCTTCTCTGGGTTACAATCCAATGTTCTTGTTATTCATTTTGTTCCTCAAATTACTAGTTTGGCCACCAGGAGCTAAGTACTTAATATTTTTTGCTATTTTGGTTTTTTTGGTACCAGGGATTGAACTCAGGACCTTGCACTTGCGAGGCAGGCAGCGGAACCACTGAGCTAAAAATCCCCAGTCAAGTTTTTAATTTTCAGTAAGGATATGTACCCACTTTCAATTAAGATGTAGAGTTAACCTAAATCTACAGCCTCTCTCTAAATAAGACAGCATACTTAACATGTCTCTCTCCACTTAATACCCCACACCAGCTCGTGCATTTATGTCCTAACAACCTGGAATTTTAAATTCTAATCATAATTAAATTTT